AATTTTTAAACTTAAAAAAGTAACCGGACTCTGATTTTTTTTTTTATTATGTTGAAGCCTTCTTTTTAAAAATATATACAGCTTTAAGGCATAAAAATTTTAATAAACGCTTAATTATTATGTTTTAGTAGTAAGGATGACCATAAAATAATTTCCGACTTTCCAGCGTTTTTTATCACATAAAAATTAACAAATTTAAGTATTTCAAATTAAATGTGTTTTCCTTGGCCATATATTTTATCAGTTTATGAATTTATATCTGGTATAGACATCTTCAAAGCAATGATATGACCTTTTTTATTAGGTTACGGTAAAAAACCATAACAAAAAAAAATCAAAATTACGATGTTGTTGTTGTTTTTAAAGCAACGCATACGCATAATAAATGTCCACAAATGCTTAAAATTAAACCACCGTGCAAATTAGAGTACTTTCATCAAATTTTCAGGTCAATGTTTTTATAAGAATCTTAATCTTTAAAATATCTTTAAAAACCAATTGGGAATTGCAGAGGACATAGTAGTTGAGAGAGCCCATCGAGTAGGACAAGTAAAAGAAGACAAGCCGCGAACGATAATTCTCAAACTTTTAAATTTTTATGAAAAAAGCAAAATATTATCTTTAGCAAAAAAACTTAAGGGCACTGGAGTATTCATAAATGAAGATTACGCAAATGAAACCTTAGAAAAACGAAAAAAGCTTTGGGAAGAAATAAAAAAAAACCGAAAAGAAGGTAAATTTGCAATTATCAAATATGATAAAATTTTTGTACGAGAATTTCGGAAATAAGTTAAATGCTTAACCTCAATTTTATAAAAATAAACTCTTAATCATGCGCAATGGCTTACAAAACAATTGACTTTGAAACCAAACAATTAAATTTTTTTGAAACTGATAACATCATTTTACTTAACGACTATTATGACGCAGATAAACAGGTTTTTAAAGAATTAGATTTTAATTTGCAATACTATGACACTGAAACTTTTAAAACGCTATTAAAAACGCTATTAAAAATATATAAAAAATTTCACGGTGATACACATCAATATTAGAAGTTTAAGTTTAAATATAGACTAACTAAAACACTTTCTTTTAGAATCCAATTTTTATTTAACATGATTTGTCTCACAGAATCATGGGGTGATGATGAGTCAGCTCAAAAAAATTCAAATTTTCAGATTCCTAATTATAAAATAGTTTCATCTGAAAGAAAAACGCTCAAAATGGGAGGCGGAATTTTAGTTTACATTCGTAATGACCACGATATCAAAATTATAAAAGACTTCTCGATCTCTAATTCAGACAGTGAGGTCCTAACAATTGAGATAATAATTAAAAATACAAAAAACGTTGTAGTTTCTACTTGTTATAGACCACCCGACGGCGATGTTATTCAGTTTTCAAATTATATGCAACAAATTTTAATCAAAAGCAATAATGAACAAAAAAGATTATTCTGCATCGGTGACATCAACATAGATAGTTTAAAGTACAATGAACACCCTAATACTAAAAACTTTTTTGACAAAATATTTCAACACGGCATAATCCCAATCATTAACAAACCAACTCGTCTTACAAAAACTTCCATTAGTGCTATAGATAATATTCAAACTAACTCTTTTCTAGATAAGTCTATTAAAACAGGAATAATTAAAACTGATATTTCGGATCATTTTCCTATTTTTTTTTCTTTTGCTGAACATGCAACCATAAATGATAATTCTAAAATCAAAGTCTTGAAACGAAAAATGAATGAACATTCTATGCTTAAATTTAAAGAATCTTTATCAACAATAAATTGAATAAATGTATACCAAGAATGTAACCTTGGACACACAAATTCCGCTTACAATCTATTTCTCGACATCTTTCTTAAATATTATAACAAAAATTTTCCAATACAAGAAATAGAAGTCAAAACAAAATATTTAAAATGTCCTTGGATTACACGCGGAATAAGAAAATCTTCAAAAAAAAGCAAAAATTATACATCAAATATTTAAAAAACAGAAACAAAGCCAATCTTAATGCCTATAAAAAATATAAAAATCTGTTTGAAAAAATAAAAAATAAATCTAAAAAAAGATATTATTCTCAACAATTAAAAAATAATAATGGTAAACGTGGGAAGTTATGAAAGAAATCATTGGTAAAAATAAAATAGTATCTGAAATTTTACCCTGCAGAATAACAGAAAGCGATATTGAATACAAAAACAAAAAAGATATATCAGAAATATTTAATCATTTTTTTGTAAACACTGGTCTAATCCTGGCATCAAAAATAAAAGGCTCAGAAACATCGTTTCAAAATTATTTTAGCGATTTTGAAAGCTCATTGCCAGATAGTAATTTAACTTTTGATGAACTAGAAACAGCAATCAAATCAATTAAAAAGAATAAGGCCACAGGTATTGATGACATCTCTGGCAATGTTGTTCTTTATATTTTTTCTGTAATAGTTAATATCTTCAGCTCTTTAATCAAAAACGGAATAGTCCCAGACAAATTAAAAATAGCAAAAATTGTACCTATATTTAAAGGTGGAGATACATCTGCAATTAGCAATTATAGACCAATCTCAATTCTTCCTATATTTTCTTAAACTCCTCTCCTCTTCCTATATTTTCTTAAACTCCTTGAAAGAATAATTTACAACAGACTGTATAAATATTTTATAGAACACAAAATTTTAAGTGAAAATCAATACAGGTTTCAAACGCAACATTCAACAGAACATGCTATCCTAGATTTCATTAATAACATTACAACTTCCTTTAATGATAGGAAATTTGTATTAGGAGTCTTTATTGATCTTACAAAGGCGTTTGACACAGTAGACCACACAATACTACTAAAAAAAATGGAAAAATATGGCATAAAAAATCAAACTATAAAATGGTTCGCCAACTACCTAGACAACAGACAACAATGTGTTACCATAGATCACTATAACAACTCGAAACAACTAAAAATCAAATGTGGAGTTCCTCAAGGATCTATTCAAGCTCCTCTTCTATTTTTAATTTATGACAACGACCTCCCTAAAGTCTCATCTAAATTAGATTGAATAATTTTTGAAGACGACACTAATCTGTTTTATTCTTCTAGCTCAATCAGTGACCTCTTTATAACCGCAAACTTAGAACTTATTAAACTTAACACATGGTTCAGAGCTAACAAATTGTCATTAAACTTAAACAAAACTAAATACATCTTATTTCACCCCAACCAAAAAAATAAGGCTATCCCATCAATTTTACCAACTCATAGTATAGACAACACAATTATTGAACGAACTCAATCATCTAAATTTCTTGGTGTGCTTCTTGACGAGAAATTATCTTGGAACTCTCACATAAATACCATTAATTAATTTATGAATAACTTTCTTAAATCTAAATATAACAAATTTAGCACTAGAGCAACTGGAAACTATATAGTACCCCCTAAAAAAAGAAAACTGTCTTAATTCTCAATAGCATATTGTGGTCCTTACTTGTATAATAAATTAATACCAAAAAATTCCTCAATATCTCTCCTGAAAAATATAAATTCCTTAAAATCTTATCTTAAAAAACTTGTCTTAAATACAAGCAGTTATATGAATAAAATATTTGAGTATCTCATGAAATTGATTAAAAAAAGGATTCTCGATGACAAGACTTTACACAGTTTAAAATGTTATTATTAGAAAATAGTTTGTGAAACAAGTAAAAAGTAAGTGAAGTTGAAAATACATGTTTAGTAAATACAGCTAATTTTAAATAATTTAAGTAAATCTATCAGCACACTATTTCGGGATTTAATTGTAGGTAATATAGTTTTATATTTATATTTTATTTAATAGGATAACAAATATATATAATTTAATTAATAGGATAACAAATATAGCGCATCATGTCAAGTGGATCTAAGGCATGGGAAAATTTTACAAAAGAAAAAAACACAGAACCTTTCACTTGTAATATATGTAAAACAACATTAATGTACAAAGATTTTCAACTACCCTAGTAGCAAACAATATTGGCGCAATATTGGGGCGATACTGTTTACATTATTGGCGCAATATTGTAAACTATATTGGGCCAATGTTGCAATGTGAACATTTTGCCAATATTGGCGCTACAATATTGCGCCAATATTGTAAAGTCAATATTGGCCAATATTGGCGATACAATATTGCACCAATACTGTAAAGTCAATATTGGCCAATATTGACAAAATGTTCACACTGCAACATAGGTCCGATATAGTTTATAATATTGAGCCAATATTGTAAATAATATCGCCCCAATACTGCGCCAATAATGGGGATATTATACTGGCCAATATCAGCCTAATATAGTTTACAATATTATCTTGATATATATAATATAACTAAAATAAGGCAATATAGTAAGTATTTGCGATTAAATTTTTATTATTAAAAAATAATAAAAAATATTGCCTTCTATAAATTTGTAATAATTAAAATTACTAACAGTTTTCTTGTTTAAGTGATACTATAGTAATAGGCTGCATTATTCTTTTGAGTTAAACAGGTTATAGCCTAGGAGATGACAGTAATCATAGAACACGCTTTGAGAAAAAAAATTCGAAATCATTAAATTTATTTGAAGTGATATGAAACAGATACAAATGAAAAAAAGAGGTATAGAGTTTTCTAAAACCAAAATATAACAAAAAAAAATCAATGTTATTTAAAGGTACAAAAAATGTTATTTACACGTACAAAATATATATATATATATATATATATATATATATATATATATATATATATATATATATATATATATATATATATATATATATATAAATATATATATATATATATAAATATATATATATATATATAAATATATATATATATATATATATATATATATATAAATATATATATATATATATATATATATATATATATATAAATATATATATATATATATATATATATATATATATATATATTATATATATATATATATATATATATATATATATATATATATATATATTTATAAACTACTGTATTATACTCTCACTATAAGATAGTGGGCATCGACTTTTATTATATTGGCGATACTTATTTCATTGCTCAATATTGAGCGTTGCTCAGTTACGGTTCTATTTTTCTTCCATAATCTCTATTAATGGCCGTCGCCAGAAAGCTGTCAATTTTTTCTTTAATACTTTTGTCAGTAGCGATTTCGAAATGAACGAATACAACGATAAACGACTGAACGCAATTCTACAAAATGTTTTTTAAATATCGTCACAATATAATTTTGAAATATATATTTTTTCACGTATAAATATTGTAAAGTAATTAGATTTTATTAAAATATTTATTTATTAAAAGGAAATGGGATGTAGAATACAAATATTTTGCTTTACCTATAACGACCTTGCAGGACGTTTTTGGTTCCTCCCATACACTGAGTATGAAAAACATACTTCTTTGGCCATTAACTGTATTTAGATTGTCGCTGTAAGTTGTTTCTCACCTCCTCCAACTGAAGTAAGAAAGTTCATCTAAAATAAGAAAACAAATGTAATATAATTGGTTGTACTAAAAGTATAATGGTTCCTCATGTGTATGTATAAGACGGTTTTCCATAATGTGATTCTTATTAAAATATGACATTATGGAAGAGTAAAAGCAATTGGTTATAAATAAATTATGACATCTGTAGCGGTGAATACACACTACAGATGTCAAAGATATCTGAGGTTAGTAGTCATTGCTACACAAAATACATTACTAACTGGGCATAAAAGATAAAAATCACAATAAAATGTAAAAAGCATTTATATAAAACATTCTGATATACAACATAATTATAGTCAATCACGTATCATATTTTATCATTTGTTTGTATGTTTCATATAAATTATATATTTTAAAAATTAGAAACTCTAATAGTACATGGTACTGTTTCCAAAAACTTTTAACTAATATCAATTCACTGATATATACTATTAATTCATAAGGTGTCTTTGATATATACAATTGATTCATAAGGTGTCTCCATAATTCTTCTTCTAGGTTTAGAAGATCTTTTTTCATCTATAACCGGCAAATAAATTCAATAAATCGAAAGAGATAGTCAAGCAAATCTCTGATGGAATCACTTAACCCTAAAACACTAAAGATTTCTTCAATCTTTGAGAAACTGAGAGACAATCTCATCAGTGTCACTTTTTAAGTAACCTGCATCCTTTTAAGCTGGAGGCACAGATAATTCCGTTCTAAAGCAGTCTCATAACTGTCAAAAAAAAGTATAAAGAAGAGATAAAACCATACTAAACAATCAAAATTTACTATATTTGAGTCAAACATACCTGTTTAGATAAAAAAACAAAGACAATACTGTAAATAAAACAAAAACAATATTGTAAATAAGACAATTACCAAAAAATTCTTATTTTCAGCTGCTTTCAGTTACTTTTAAAAGCGTGACTTTACATATGGCAGTTTAAAGGCAAGATGCTTGCAAGTGATTTGGCCAATACACCAAACTTTCATTGATACGCCATAAAAAATAGATTACATTCATGGCACACATATTGCTTTTTGATTGAAAAATTCAGCCAGAGCAAATTTTGCAAACTTTATTACCACCTTCATTTTAATGTACATCAGCTAAAAAATAATTACAAATAAATTTATGATATAAAAAAACTTCAGATTAAATTTCTTTTTTGAGATTATTTTTTTTTTAACTGAAAATATTAGTCTAAAAATTATTGAGATTCATTTCTTAATGTTTAATGTAATCACTTTTTATTACAAGTAGAGATTAATTATTGGTAATTAGTAAAAAAAAGTGAATTTTAAAGTTTGCGCGGTTTGGAAAGGTTTTTATGATAAAATTTTCTTATTTAAATATGACATTAAGAAAGATAAACAACTTGAGGCTCTAAGTAAATATTTACCATTTTGCAATTGTACATTTGATGAACCCAAGATGCATCTAGATGTTTTTTTAATGTCGTGACAGATGTTGAACACTATTTCAGATGGTAGACTATTCTGCAAATTTGTGAACTCCCTATTAGAAAATTTATGATCACATGCATGATCGCATGTTGTTAAGTGAGAGTTAGTCATAATGGAGGAATAAATACTAACTAAATATATAATCATATATTAATATTAAGAAGTGGCCATATTAACACACATCCTATTACAACTCAGATTAACTACGTAATGGTCTGTAATTACAGTAATAAATATAATGGCTGTGCAGATGACATGAGGAAACAAAAGGGTTGCAACTACAATTATAAAGATTGTGAATGCATTTGTAAGTTTCTGCCATGTCATTAAATAAGAAACGATAGCTCATGTTATTCAAATTTAGTCTCAGTAGTCTTTGGTTGTAAGTGAGTCCAGCCTGGCCAAATACTAGCATAGAACGTTTTAAATATTTACTAGCATAGAACATTTTAAATTAATTGTTGATCTTTTTAAAGTCTAGGATAGTAGCAAACTGTATAACTTAGAATCATCTGTAAATACAGATACAACATCTAAAACCAAATTAGAAAAATCTTTATTATATATCATAAAAGTAAATAATGGGGGACCCCACTATTTACTATTATCCATTCTGAGTATGTACCACCAACAATGATACTCTAATGCCGTTCTCTTAGGTAACATCAAAATCCAATTGTAGAGTTAGTCATTTATTCTATAAGCTTTTAATTTTAGAAGTAGGAGTTGTGAAATGTGTTGAAAGATTTCAATATATCTGATATAAATTTCCTATATCAGTTTTATTCTCCAAGGCTAATGTCCAACATCAATCCTCGCTAAAGTTTATTGCATTTTTAAAGTCGCATTTATATAATTTTTACTATTTTCAGCATTACTTATTGTGTGAATTTTACTTTAATCTTGTTTAACTACTCTTAACATAGCGTGATGTAGCAGATCTAGTTTAACTTATTGATTTGTTTATTACCTTTAACATTGCATTAAACTATTGCATTAAATAAAATGCTATATAAAATAAAAGACATTATAAAAAAAACTTTTTTATTGCAAAATTATTATTTTATAATAAATTTATGTGCGTGTGTGTGTGTGTGTGAAGGTCAATAATATATATATATATATATATATATATATATATATATATATATATATATATATATATATATATATATATATATATATATATATATATATATATATATATATATATATATATATACATATATATATATATATATATACATATATATATATATATATACATATATATATATATATATATATATATATATATATATATATATATATATATATATATATATATATATATATATATATATATATATATATATATATATATATATATACAATAATATATATATATATATATATGCAAAAATATATATATATATATACAATAAAATATATATATACCATAATATATATATATATATATATATATATATATATATATATATATATATATATATATATATATATATATATATATATATATATATATATATACAATAATATATATATATACAATAATATATATATATATATATATATATACATATATATATATATATACAATAAAATATATATATATATATATATATATATATATATATATATATATATATATATATATATATATATATATATATATATATATATATTATTGATGTTATTATGTTTGTATATATAAAATCTTACAACAGTTAGAGTTAGAAACAATAATAACGACGTATTTATTTCTTAAACGAATATCTTTAACAAAATAAATAGACTATAAAACTTATATTTTATAGATGAAATCTTCTCAAAGTGTTTTTATTTAAGAGTAAACTTACTATTTTAATCTTGATACTTAAGTATAGCAATATTTTTCCTCTTCTTCTCGTGATGCAATATGTTTTAAATTAATTACAACCACTTTTTCTCGTAATTCAATTCATAATGTTGAATAAAAGAATTTTATTACTCTTACCACTTCTTCTCGTGATACTATCTGTTTTAAAATAACTTACCAACACTTCTTCTCCTGATTCACTCTGTAAATGTTGAATTAAAAATACTTTTCCTACTTCTTCTCTTTTCATAATTTTTATTATGAACTCTTATTTGTTTTTGCAAAAAAATTATTCACATAAGGATGCCTGTTTATGTAAAAAGATGCTATTATTTACATTTAAACACATTTAACAAAACTAAAGGACATTATGGATATTCCTTAATGTTACGCATGCGTACCAATATGTAAAATTATATATAGCCAATATTGGCAAACAATATTTCGCCAATATTGGCATAACAATATCAGTTAATCGATAATCGGATAATATTGGCGCAATATTATGCCAATGGCATAATAACACTGGCATTATAACATCAGTAAAACGATAATGGATATTGCTTGACAATATTGGCGCAATATCGAATATCTTGGCCAAGATTAGCCAAGATACCAAGATTAGCCAAGATAATATTGGCGTAATATTGGCACGATATTGGGTATCTTGGCTAATCTTGGCCAAAATATCCGATATTGCTCCAATATCGTCAAGCAATATTACGCCAATATTGTCTTACCAATATTGGCAAACAATATTGCGCCAATATTATCCATTATCGTTTTACTGATACTGTTATGATAGTGTTGGTAATTTATTTTGAAACAGATTGTATCACGAGAAGAAGTAGTAAGAGTAATAAAATTCTTTTATTCAACATTACGAATTGAATTACGAGAAGAAGTGGTTGTAATTAAGTTAAAACATATTGCATCACGTAGGTACGTTACAAAAACAAATCGCCGTCCGCGATATTTTGGCTCCTTGTTTGTGTGACAAACTTCGCATGCGTTTTAAAAGTATATTAGTTCTTCATCATTTTTACTCGCTTCAGTTGGCTTAAATGTCATATTTTGCTTATTGCTTTATTTAAGAAAGAATTACACTTTTATTTAGTGCTACAATTTAATTTTATTCTCCACCTCATTCTTATTTGTGCTGGTTTGAAATTTAAGGTAAACTATTAATAATAGTTTACCTTAAATAGTTTACCACGCTCATATTTTTGTTAAATTTAAACATAATAGTATTATGTTTAAATTTAACAAAAATATGAGCGTGGACCTTCATTAAACTACTGTGGCCATTTACAACAATCAATTATCTATGCCCTTAAAATCTTTAAAAGTTTGTAGGATATTCCCCTGATATCTAATTTTTTCCCCCTGGATTAGAGCTTTTTATGTTTTTGACAGCCATTATTAAATTTGCTATTTTTTTTAGTAACCAAATTAGTGTTAAAGATATGTTATATTTTTATTTTTATTGCAAATCATAGTCATAACTACTAATTAAAAGAATGTCTGTACCAAATCATCCTATCAAGAAATATGGTATAGGCCTGCAGTACATTAATGATAATTTTTCAGCAAACCTTCCATTGCCTTTCGGAATTCCGGTATTAAAGGGTCATATTATGTTCACTTATTATTCCAATGGGTCCAGTTTAATTAAAACACTTAAAGCACTGAAGAAAAATACCAACTTCGTTTACAAACACAAAGTTAGAAAAGTAATTAACAACTTTAAGGAATTCAAAAATATATCAACTGTTAAAAGATTTCAGCACTATAAATCTCTTTGTCATGAGCCTTTTGAAATTAAACCAGATATCAAGCAGTCTAATAAAATAAACTATTCCCTTGTTCCTGTAAAACGTTGAACCTTCCTGTAAAATGTTGAACCTTCTACCACTAATTGTGCATCGTGTGTATCTCTTAGATTAAGGTTGCATAAAGCCATCAGTGATAGAGTTTTTACTAACAAAAAAAATGCTGAACGTATAAACAGTCTAAAAAGTCTGTTACAAAAACAAAAACATATGCGAGTTTTAAACCAAAAGCTGAAGCGAAAAGATGTGCAGATACTTAAGCTTAAAAAACATATGTATGATCCAGAATACAGGTTGAGAAAAATCATTAAAATGTTAAGAAAAAAATGCAATTATTTAATAAATGAAGCAAAAAAAGCAAAACATTTTCAAATAGAAATCAATTCTGAGCTTCAAAATGTTAAACAATTGCATCAACAACTTCAAGAAAAAGAAAAATGTATAACTACATTGCAAATAAATAATTCAATTCTTGAAGAAAATTTATGTGAAAAAAAAACTTTTCCCCAATGTTCAAAAATAGATCATAAATCATACACATTCAAATTAAGGTTGTTTTTTTATGATGCAATTGTTAATCAAGTGCCAACAAAAAATATTCCAATAATATTGGAAAATTTTTCTCAAAGATTTGGTTTTAAGTTTGAATCAGTACCTTGTCGCAGTACAGTTGAATTTATGGTAAGGGAGTTAGGAATAATAACTGACTATCAAGTATCAGAAAAATTATTGTCTAATAAAAATGTTACACTTGGCATTGATTCCACCACACAAGAGGGTATCCATATTAATTCTATACATTTTACTACACAATACGAGTGTTTTGTTATGGCTGTTGACCAGTTAGCAGGTGGTACTGCTGTTGATTACCATCAACATATAATTAATACGGTAGATCATCTTGCTCTTGTTTCATCAGAGTTTAACAGTACAAACTATCAAGAAACTCGTAAAGCAATGATAAGCAATATTGTTAATACAATGACTGATAGAGTAAAAGTAAATCAAGCAACTATTGAATTGTTGAATGAATCGTGGGATAAATCATTGAATGAGCTTAATTGTCATCTACATCCTTTAGAAACCATATCCACTATGTGTTGTTTAACATTAAAAAAATTAGAAAGTGTTTCTGAAAAACTTTTTGGAAATAAATGCCTTGCAAGTAAAATTATTTTACAAATGAACAAGATGAGGTTTGTTAATGGAAAAGGTGATCCCGAAGGCTTTTCTTTATTCTTAGAATCTGAAGGTTTTCCACGTGGTTTGATTTCAAGATACCGTGGAAATCGTCTCCATATCTTATTTCACTTGGCGGGAGTTTATTTTGCACATCATGAAACTTTTAAAAAATTTTTAGCTACTGGTACAGTTAAATGTGGTGACTTACAAACAAGTTTACGGGAAGATTTCTCAACTGACATTGCCTTATCAGAACTTCAAGTTCTTGGAATTTTGGGTAAACTATTCACTGGTCCTTGGATGAAGAAATTTTATACCTCAGTAGAAAATCAAGTTCATCATCTATATGGAGTTAATATAGTTCAAGCTGTTATTAATGTTTTAAAAAAATATACTATGGTTCCTTTAGATTTGTTAACTTGTGCAAATGACTTTTTTGGAGAAGAATTACCAAATAATAGCCTGCTTCTTTCATTAAAAAAAAACCATTGAATGAAGAAATGTTCTGTAGGCAAATGTCTGCATATCTAACTTGCTGTGTGGATGTTCTTCGCAGACAATATAAACGTTATTTCAAAAAGACCTTTTGATTGAAACAAGATCTGCTAGAGTAAATAACATCGATGCAGGGGAGGTTATGGGCATGTTTAGTGCTGCTAAAAAACGTTCCCCTAATGCTACTTTGTGTTATTTGTCATCTCGAATACGAGCACAAAAAAACAATGTTCTTGCTTTTATTGATTCATGCAATGAAACAAAACAGGAACAAATTATAAATTTTGCAATTTCATATGGAAGAAAAAAAGGCAGCAAAATTGTAGTCAGTACTTAGAATTGCGAAAAGAGATGATAAAGAGAGCAAACCATAACATAAGTAAAAAACAAATTTCAGATAGAAAAAAATTAGAGAAAAAAGTAAAAAATCTAACTAAGCAAAATCTAAGTGTAGAATTTCCTGAGCTTGATCCATTGACCAAACAAGATATTCTAGATATTTTAGAAGGTAAAGTAATTGGTCGAAAGATTTTACACACTTGGAGTGATAGTGATACTTGTCAGGAAACTATTTACAATGGAAAAATTGAAAGAATGAAAAGTAAAAATAGCCCTTTGTATGTCATAGCTTACTGGACTTGTGAAGCTGATTATAATCTGGCA